AAAAAAAAAAAAAAAAAATGCTGTAAAAACCTTAGCTATGCCATATGAATGGAAATGGAAATCAAGGTTTCATGTCCTAGTAGTCTGTTTCATCCTGAATGCCTACTGAACAGTCTTTTATGACAGTTAGGATCATCACAATATACACAACTATTTAGTACAGTACAATGATGGGCTATTGCAGCTTCATCTCAAATTCATTTTCTGTTGTCAGGGTACACATACTTAGCTGAAGCTCACACTATTAAGTAGGTAAATTTACTTAAAAAGTATTTTCAAGGTCTTAGGCCACGAGCCAACTGAATTCCACAAACATTCTTGAGCATCTACTATGTGCTGCCATCAAGTAAAGTACTGAGAATATAAAAATTTACTACCTCAAAAAAAAAATTAACTGTCCTTAAGAAGCTGTTTTATAGGGAGGACAGACAGGTGAACAAATAACTCTCACAACACAAGCACAAAAAAAAGGCACGTCCACAGTACAACAGAAGCAGGACTAGTATAGAAGCAACAAGAGGAGTAAGTGATTTACCTGTTTGCAGAGAAAGGAACATGGGAAAGCCTAAAAGAAACCACACACAAGCAAAAGCAGGAAGGGCATCCAGCTAAGGGAACCAACAGCACATGCATACATGCAGAGGGGCGAGGAAGACTGGGACCTGTGAGTACCCCAGTCCTGCCAGCACAGAGCAGGGAAAATGAGACGGGGGAGAACATGTTTCTGCACCTTAAAAGACTTGCAGATCATATTTCAAACACTGATCTTTACCTTACACTATAACTACCATTACCAGCACCTCTGTCTCCTCCTCCTAGCTGGTCTTTTATAATCCAAGTAAAGGTTTAAAATCCTGTGCACTTTCAATGTACTCCACTGCCTCCCATCGTGATCCACAGGGAAAACTGGATAGTTCTGTACTTGCAGGAAGATAAAACTCGCTCGGGATTAGGCTACCTACAACACAACCTCCCACGCCCTTCCACTCTACAGGCCCTCATACACTGGCACACCTCTCCTGCTGCATGGCTCCTAGAATTCACAGGGAAGAGAAGCAAAGAGGGAAGCTATTACACTGTCATAACACTGAACAAGCTACAACTCTAAGTGGAAATGCTCATCTTGGGACAAAATGGTTTCTCTCAACCAGAAGCTTACAAAGACTAAGAAGAGACCACGGGACATAAACACACAAGTACTACAGGTATTAGGACCCATCTCAGAAGTTCACCAAAAGAACTATAACCCAATATCTGAAATCCCAAAGAGAAAGATGATTCACGTATGACAACAAATTGTTACCAATAATTGTAAACAAGTCAAAAAGGAGGAAAAACATAAGAAATCAATAAATCTTCAAAACATTGAAATGAAATGAGCTCAGTTTTTAAAAGGACATACATGGAATAGGAAGAAACAATAACAAAGACAAATGTAAAAAGGTGATACAGCCTTCCTAGAGTCCCCAGGTAACAGTAACTTAAGGGGCTAGGCAACACAGATGAAGAGGGAGGCAGATGAAGAACAGGAAGTAGTAACATAAACACTACAAAAAGGCTAAGGAAAGCTAAATGACTCAACGTACACCAAAAAATGTTGAAACACTACATGTTCTCTTGTTTTTAACTATAACACCAGAAAGGGAGAACAGCTCACTGCTTATTCAGGGTATACATAATATTAACCTGAAGAATACAATCTTAGGGAAACCCTGCAGTCCCCCTTTATTTTTGATATTTCTTCACTCAGAAGTATTTTCAGTTGCACAGCACATATATCATTAAGAAAGGATAATAAAAAAACACATCAATTCACTGAATGAATTCATTCAGGTGTAACTATTAATAACAAACCTGTACACCAGTAAGAATCAAGCACATCAAACTTAGAAGAGTAAAATCAGCTCTAGAGAAGGGTAAGGTGTTCACATGCAAAATGGGCAGCAGGGCATCCCTGATGGCTCCACCAGCTCACATCCAGGCAACCCTGTACATTCCTGTGCTTAACATGCAAATTGAATTTGATTTTATCAGTCAAAGCAAGAAATACTGACTAACCTCTCACTTGCTTAGGCTTATACCCAATGCTATCTGTTAACTAAACAATTTTTGCTTGTATTTTCATGAACTGTAGGGTATTAGAGAAAAACATGGGAGAGGGCAAACTAAAGTGCCTGAATTATCTAAAACTATACCTTCAACTACAAGCCAACAAGCAGTTGTCCAATCTTACACTGTATCGTAGAAATTAGATTATTTCCCTAAATAGTACTGACCTAAAGAAACACGTACAATAATTCCATCCTGATAATTCTCTTATTTATTAAACACAAATTACCTTTACATATGGATTACTCTGAAGCAGAAATGCAGGAACCTGCAGTGTAAGGTATTCATTTTCCCTCCAATTTAACATAAAAGCAACACACTACATGGAATAGGAAGAAACAATAACAAAGACAAATGTAAAAAGGTGATACAGCCTTCCTAGAGTCCCCAGGTAACAGTAACTTAAGGGGCTAGGCAACACAGATGAAGAGGGAGGCAGATGAAGAACAGGAAGTAGTAACATAAACACTACAAAAAGGCTAAGGAAAGCTAAATGACTCAACGTACACCAAAAAATGTTGAAACACTACATGTTCTCTTGTTTTTAACTATAACACCAGAAAGGGAGAACAGCTCACTGCTTATTCAGGGTATACATAATATTAACCTGAAGAATACAATCTTAGGGAAACCCTGCAGTCCCCCTTTATTTTTGATATTTCTTCACTCAGAAGTATTTTCAGTTGCACAGCACATATATCATTAAGAAAGGATAATAAAAAAACACATCAATTCACTGAATGAATTCATTCAGGTGTAACTATTAATAACAAACCTGTACACCAGTAAGAATCAAGCACATCAAACTTAGAAGAGTAAAATCAGCTCTAGAGAAGGGTAAGGTGTTCACATGCAAAATGGGCAGCAGGGCATCCCTGATGGCTCCACCAGCTCACATCCAGGCAACCCTGTACATTCCTGTGCTTAACATGCAAATTGAATTTGATTTTATCAGTCAAAGCAAGAAATACTGACTAACCTCTCACTTGCTTAGGCTTATACCCAATGCTATCTGTTAACTAAACAATTTTTGCTTGTATTTTCATGAACTGTAGGGTATTAGAGAAAAACATGGGAGAGGGCAAACTAAAGTGCCTGAATTATCTAAAACTATACCTTCAACTACAAGCCAACAAGCAGTTGTCCAATCTTACACTGTATCGTAGAAATTAGATTATTTCCCTAAATAGTACTGACCTAAAGAAACACGTACAATAATTCCATCCTGATAATTCTCTTATTTATTAAACACAAATTACCTTTACATATGGATTACTCTGAAGCAGAAATGCAGGAACCTGCAGTGTAAGGTATTCATTTTCCCTCCAATTTAACATAAAAGCAACACACTCCTCAGCAATAACCTGACGAAGAGGAATATCTAAAAAGCAAACAAGAAAATAGCTGGAATTATCATCGTAACATTAAAGTGAAAACAAAGCAAGAATGTAATCAGATTTCAGCTCAACAAATTAGAAGTAATAGTTACAGATGTAAAAATAGAAAACACCAACATTTTAGATTTTTCTCTAAGAAGCTTGACATTTCCCAACAATAGACTGCCATGGTACCCACTAAATCCAAAGTTATCTATTAATACATCCTAATTAAGCTGCAGACCACTCCACTGTGGAAATCTATGAGTCTGTACCTATCCTCTAGAAATATGTAATTCGAATGAGCAGAGAACAAATACACAAACAAAACAAGCACAAAATGGTAAGACATAAACTTTAGCACACTTCGAGTGCAGAAATAGGTAAATCATACAAATACAACAGAAACAAATCTGAGATAATGTATCATATTTAATAATCTTCTGATTAAAATGTAATACTCATAAGGGACAAGTCATTCATTGTCAAAAAATTTTTTTTGCTGTACCAGAAACAATTTTAAGTAAAAAAAAAAGTAATGAGAAAAAAATCACTCAGAATTGTTTGAACATTATTTCCTTTGAAGTAATTATTAAATATACCTTACTGTTAAATATATTGTAAAATTTTACAGCTCAAAGTATATAATATTCAGGTTTTAAGTACTTCAGCAAAAAGGAAAAGAAACCCCTCTGGATGCTAAATAACAATGTTAAGACTTAGAATGAAGAGAGCTATTAAACTTCTCAAGTACCTATATTTTTCAGTCTTCTAAAATGACTGTGCCTGTGGCTATTTATATCTCTCACTTTATTCCAAAAAAGGATTTGAGATAACAAAAAGAGGTGTGGGAGCACAGCAGAATAAGATAAAAATAGATCATTTGCATCATCTTTTTAAAGAAGGAATGAAGACATAAGTAAAATTAGTATCAAATGCACAAGTTATTGAGTTCCGTATATTTGCCAAAAAAACGCCACACAGCATTTGGCTCCAAGGCTTCCTTTATTCACCCAGCACTCCCCATTAGTAATATAGCAATGGTTCTAAAGATGAATCAGCATCTGAGGAGTAAAGTACCAAATACAGCCTGAGAGGCAGTGATTTGTAGATAACTTCCCTTTATGCACCTGCAATTAAATGGCAGTAATAACCATACATTCATTATCAGTAAGTGTAGTCATATGCGGGAATAGGCAGCCAGAGTAGGCCTAAACAGATTTGTTGAAATCCAAAGAACATAACAAGGACCTGAGTCTCAACAGAAAGCTATCTTTTAATACAAAAGTATTAAAAGTTGGGATCTCTCCCAAAAGATATGATTGGTTTTAGAATAATTCATTTGTGGCCCTTATTTCTATCATAACTGAAATGTTGGATCTGTTGTCGGTTAAAGGCACTTCTCGTTACTGATATAAAGCAAGGTAAACCCATGTAAAAGAGAGCTTCTCTGTCTTCTATAGAAGGCATGCCTCTAACTCATTCAAAACTGGCCCAATTTAACCAACAACAATTTTTTTCCTTAAAAAATGAGGGAGAGACAAAAAAAAAAAAAAGAGGGAGAGAAATTCATATGGCCAACAGACACATGAAAGGATGCTCCACATAGCTAGTCTTCAGAGAAATGCAAATTAAAACCACAATGAGATATCACCTCACACCAGTAAGGATGGCCACCATCCAAAAGACAAACAACAACAAATGTTGGTGAGGGTGTGGAGAAAGGGGAACCCTCCTACACTGCTGGTGGGAATGTAAACTAGTTCAACCATTTGGAAAAGTAGTATGGAGGTTCCTCAAAAAGCTCAAAATAGAAATACCATTTGATCCAGGAATTCCACTTCTAGGAATTTACCCTAAGAATGCAGCAACCCCGTTTGAAAAAGACGGATGCACCCTTATGTTTATCGCAGCACTATTTACAATAGCCAAGAAATGGATGCAACCTAAGTGTCCATCAGTAGATGAATGGATAAAGAAGATGTGGTACATATACACAGTGGAATATTGTTCAGCCACAAGAAGAAAAGAAATCCTACCATTTGCAACAACATAGATGGAGCCAGAGGGTATTATGCTCAGTGAAATAAGCCAGGCGGAGAAAGACAAATACCAAATGATTTCATTCATCTGTGGAGTATAAGAACAAAGAAAAAACTGAGGGAACAAAACAGCAGCAGACTCACAGAACCCAAGAATGGACTAACAGTTACCAAAGGGAAAGGGACTGGAGAGGATGGATGGGAAGGGAGGGTAAGGGGGAGGGGGAAGAAAGAGGGCATCACGATTAGCATGTATAATGTGGGCAGAGGCATAGGGAGGGCTGTGCAACAGAGAAGATAAGTAGTGATTCTACAGCATCTTACTACGCTGATGAACAGTGACTGTAACGGGGGTTGTGGGGGGAACTTGGTGCAGGGGGGAACCTAGTAAACATAATGTTCCTCATGTAATTGTAGATTAATGATACCAAAATAAAAAAATATATAATAAATAAAAAGGAGGGAGGAAAAGGTAGCATATGACACTTTTTTACACCCTCTCTCAATCCAGACCCACAGAGACATCATCCTACCACCCCCAGCTCTCACAGCGCACTGGAGTGCACAGCCATATGAGCCTCAGAGCCGGGGGTCAATGCTGACTTCAGGTGACTTAAACTGTAATGGAGGCTCAGTCAAAGAAAGGAAACTGTGCCTGTGGGGGGAAAAAATCATTTTCTTGTTCCTCCAAACAATACATTACAGCCTTTGTCTCATTTTAAACACTGTGTATAAGAACAAGCTATGGGACAAGTTCCTGAACATTCAATAGCAAGGAATTTACACAAATTATGTGCAGAGATATGAGTCTCAGACCAAAAAAAAAAAGTGAAAAAGGTGATGCTCCAAACTACTTAAAACGCCAAAAAGATAGTACAAATAAACTATAATTATTTAAAGTCATTTCCATCCATTTCAGAATAAGAGCACAGGCTTAAGTTGTACTGATGAGACTCAAATCACAGTTGTCTCTCTTACTGCATGACTTTGGTTAAATTCCTTAACCTGTCTTCACCTCAAGTTTCTTGATTTACAAAATCAGGATAATTAAACAAAATCAGCAGCTACTTCAAAGATGCCAGTGGACTGAGTGAGTTATGCACCTGAAGTTCCTAAAACAATGTCTGACATGTAGATAGCACACAATAAATGTCAGGGTTTTTAAATTCTTCTTGCTTCTTATTTTAAAGAAACCACATAAGAAAACCACAACTTGCTACCTTTAAAAGGAAAACATACACAGTAGCATGCATCTGTTCACAACATCGGCATATCATCACATCAATTCTTACGATACTGAAGGGTACTAATGCATTAAAGTTCAAAGGTATTCAACCTAGAGTGCTAAAAAGCTGTTACTTCTGCTAGAAATCAGAATGTAGTAACAACTAAAATAATTCAAAAGATCCCAGAGGGTCAACAGCCATTTCTGTTTGGCACAATATTAGCACCTTCCTTTACACTTCAATTTTACTATCTACAGCATTAAATGTGCACAGTATGAGTTCATTGCTCTAAATACACTTATTTTAATTCAAGTATCAATATACAATCTCCTATTGGTTTCAAATATACAACACAGTGGTTCAGTTACCCATATTATTAAATCCTCACCCCCACTAATGCTGTTACTATCTGTCAACACAGGAAGATGTTACAATATCATTGGCTGTATTCCCCACACTGTACTACCATCCCCTTGACCAACTTTAAATTATGACTGAGAATTTTTGTGTCCCTTTATCCCCTCACCCAACCCCTCCTCCATGGTAACCACCAGTCCCTTCTCAGTGTCTGTGAGTCTACTGCTGTTTTGTTCATTCTAGTTTATTTTTATGCTCCACAAATTAGTGAAATCATATAGTATTTGTCTTTCTCTGCCTGGCTTATTTCACTGAGTATAATACCCTCTAGGTCCATCTATGTTGTTGCAAATGGAAGGATTTCTTTTTTTTTTAATGGCTAAATATTCCATTGTGTGTATGTACCATTATCTTCTTTCTCCATTCATCTATTGATGGACACTTGAGTTGCTTCCATAAATTGGCTATTAAAAACAATTCAGTGATAAACACAGGGGTGCATATACTTTTTTTATAATTATTGTTTAAAAATGTAAATTAATGAAAATGCTTTAAGATTTATATATAATACAGATGGTAATTTATATAAGCCCCCTTTCATAATAAGGTATTTAGAATTGTACACACAAGGTCTGTTCCAACATGACCACAAATGAGTCCCTGACCACTGGCAATCATATTAAGGGTTTTCTATGATGGTAATGAGGAACTACACTTTCAACCTGTACGTTTAAGGACACTCTGATTCTTTTAACAGAGTATCTTAAAAATGCAATATAAACAAAGAAAAACTAAAGGAACAAAACAGTAGCAGAATCATAGAACCCAAGAATGGACTAACANGCTGATGGACAGTGACTGTAATGGGGTTTGCGGGGGGACTTGGTGAAGGGGAGACCCTGGTAAACATAATGTTCTTCATGTAATTGTAGATTAATGATAACAAAAAAAATGCAATATAGTTTCTGTAGTGTATCAAATAGCATCGCCTCAAAATTATGTCTACCTGAAACCTGAGAATGTGGTCTTACTTACCCCAAATCTTATATGACCTTTTAAGAAGAGAAAACACACAAACACACACACATGAGAAGGCCACATAAAGAAGGAGGCAGAGACTGGAATGATGCAGCTATCAACTAAGGAATGCCAAAGACTGCTGAGAGCCGGAAAGTAGGACCATACAACGAACGATGCTGGCCTGGAGTGGAGTCCTGCAAACAGACACCTTGATGTCAGGCATCTAATCCCCAGAATAGACAGGGTAAATTTCTATTGTTTTAAATCCCCTAGTTTGGTATGGCAATCCTTGGAAATGAATAGCTAGCTTCCTACATCTTTCCCAAAGTTCTCAAGTGAACAACATATCTGAATTCTGTTTTAGGAGAGAAAACATTTTTATGGATAGAAAAAAGTAAATGTTCTTTTATATTTTCCCCAATTATATGAATCCCGATTTTCTGAAAGTTGGCTCTGTGAACAGTCTTACCGGGCAGCCTCATTTCCAGATAGCCCCGTACCCTACTAATAAGATCCGAAGGAGGTCTCTCTCCCGACTGTCCTGTTCCAGCCTCATGTGTATGAATATCCAAAAGTAGCATCTCATTCAGCATGACCTGACGAAGTTTTGGTGAGAACTCTGTTACCAACTCCAAACAAGCAGCGAATAGCTGTTTAGCATGGGAAAAGTCCTATAAAAAATGACAAAATAGCCTGGATCACCATTCCTCTGGAGTCAAAAAATACACGTCTTGAATACAGAGCAAAGAGGAGAAGTATTAAAATAAATGGCTGACACTGCTTATCTTGGAGGGTAAGGCTAGATTATCTTTTTACCATCTCTGTATTATTGACTTGTTCCAATAAATATTTAATTCTTTTCAAAACTTTTGAAAGTTTCAAAAAAATCTAAAAAGTCAATATAAGTTACATTACTAAATAAGTTTTACATACAATGTAAAATAAAAATTCAAGTTTTTACAAAAATTATACATGTCATATGTATATTATACATGTATCACATATATATGCTTTGTGACAAGCACCATTCTAAGACATCAGAATCAGACCTTACACCCTTCAACGAGGTCTCATATTCTAAAATCCTTGCACACACCCCTTTTAATCTTCATAATTGGCTAATAAATCAAGTAAATAGCAGCTACAATTTCAGCCCTTTCCTGTGTATCTCCTTCTAATATTCCAGAAGAGTTATCTTAGCTCAGTCTCTCTCTCCACATGCCTCCTTCACCTCAATCTGGCTTTTAACCCCCATCATGAAGAAATAGTTCTCACTAAACAAAGATCTTCCAATTGTCCGATCTACTGAACACTTCTCAGTTATTTCACCGGACTTAGGGGCTACATCCCAGTGCTGTCCATTCCCTCTCTCTTAACATTCTCTTTTCTCTTGGCTGTCATGACTCCACATGTGCCTGGTCCTTAAAACTCATCCCTCATTCTTTTTGGAACCAATGTTGTATCCCCTAGACTATGTATATTCTCCCTGGGTGATCTATGATGACCCCAAATATGTATCTCCAGTCCAGATCATTCCCCACACTTCAGGCCCAAATTAAACACTATAAACTGTTTCCAACTATAGGCCCAAATTAAACATTGTAAAAATGAACTCATAACCTACCCTTCAAAGACATTTTCCTGCATATCCACATGCTGGTACTCCTGTTTCAGCACCCAAAGCAGAAACCTGAGCGTCATCCTCTGTTCTCCTTTCCCTCTTACCTTCCACAGCAAATCATTCAGCAATCAACTCTAGATCTTACCTAATTATTTCTCTAATATTAGTTCTCTTCTTTTTATCCTTCCTAACACTTGTGCCACTTTTGCTGTACATCTTTACTCACCTTAACAGTACTGCAGTGTAAACCTTTGGCCATGAGAATGTAAACCAAATCTCTTGTTAAATTGTCTTTAATTCCCAGGATAACACTGCTATAGACAGAAGGTACTTCCCACTAGAAGAAATAAAACTATATAAATAGACATATACAGAGAAAGCTAAATCTAGGTAAGATTCTTTCAATCTTAACTTGCATTAAAAAAAATAATTCAAAGGTAATTTTTTAAAAAGGAAAATGACAACTATAATGAAATGCTAATTAAAATTAACACATTCTCTATAAGAAGCCAGTGACAATTAAATGGATGAAAACTTTTCTGAAGGATAGTCTAGAGAAAAAAGCAAGGAAAAACCCAGGGCATATGTACGTTAACATCCATGATCTTCACAATAATACCATAAAGTACACATTATTACGTCCATTTTAAGGATGAGAAAACTGAGGCACAAAATTATACGGCTAGCAAATATGGAACTGGGCCTCACACTCTGGCAGTTAGTATCAGAACTGCCCGTTCTGCACATTCATATGCTGCCACGCCTATCTGTTGTGCTATAATACCTCACTATAAAAATGGACAATAGTAACAATGTCAGTACTAATGAAACCCAATTAACCCTTACAGCAATTTTTCATTTCCCTGCACTTACATGTTCAAATCCCATAAAATATATATGGATTTTTTATTGCTTTTTTACATTTCAACAGAGGAGTAGAATGCAGCTAGTTATAATCACTGCCATATTACTTTAATTGCTTCTGTATCTTAGACTATCTCTCTTGTATGTCTAGATAACTTTCCACTAAAATGGTGCCTTAAAAAAGCTACTTGCATTTGCACTTTCCACACAGGTAAGTTTTTAAATAGATAACCTCAGAAACAGGTAAATACATCAGCTGGGCATTTTAAAATGAGTATCTAAAGTCGAAAATGCCCTACAGTGAAGTTCTAATGACTTGGTTCCAAGCTTTAGACCTCAACAGGATATTATAAAACACAAAACAAAAATAATGCATGAGCACACAGCAAGTATTAGCTATAAATTACATAAATAATAAACCTTCAGCCCTTTCCTGTGTATCTCCTTCTAATATTCCAGAAGAGTTATCTTAGCTCAGTCTCTCTCTCCACATGCCTCCTTCACCTCAATCTGGCTTTTAACCCCCATCATGAAGAAATAGTTCTCACTAAACAAAGATCTTCCAATTGTCCGATCTACTGAACACTTCTCAGTTATTTCACCGGACTTAGGGGCTACATCCCAGTGCTGTCCATTCCCTCTCTCTTAACATTCTCTTTTCTCTTGGCTGTCATGACTCCACATGTGCCTGGTCCTTAAAACTCATCCCTCATTCTTTTTGGAACCAATGTTGTATCCCCTAGACTATGTATATTCTCCCTGGGTGATCTATGATGACCCCAAATATGTATCTCCAGTCCAGATCATTCCCCACACTTCAGGCCCAAATTAAACACTATAAACTGTTTCCAACTATAGGCCCAAATTAAACATTGTAAAAATGAACTCATAACCTACCCTTCAAAGACATTTTCCTGCATATCCACATGCTGGTACTCCTGTTTCAGCACCCAAAGCAGAAACCTGAGCGTCATCCTCTGTTCTCCTTTCCCTCTTACCTTCCACAGCAAATCATTCAGCAATCAACTCTAGATCTTACCTAATTATTTCTCTAATATTAGTTCTCTTCTTTTTATCCTTCCTAACACTTGTGCCACTTTTGCTGTACATCTTTACTCACCTTAACAGTACTGCAGTGTAAACCTTTGGCCATGAGAATGTAAACCAAATCTCTTGTTAAATTGTCTTTAATTCCCAGGATAACACTGCTATAGACAGAAGGTACTTCCCACTAGAAGAAATAAAACTATATAAATAGACATATACAGAGAAAGCTAAATCTAGGTAAGATTCTTTCAATCTTAACTTGCATTAAAAAAAATAATTCAAAGGTAATTTTTTAAAAAGGAAAATGACAACTATAATGAAATGCTAATTAAAATTAACACATTCTCTATAAGAAGCCAGTGACAATTAAATGGATGAAAACTTTTCTGAAGGATAGTCTAGAGAAAAAAGCAAGGAAAAACCCAGGGCATATGTACGTTAACATCCATGATCTTCACAATAATACCATAAAGTACACATTATTACGTCCATTTTAAGGATGAGAAAACTGAGGCACAAAATTATACGGCTAGCAAATATGGAACTGGGCCTCACACTCTGGCAGTTAGTATCAGAACTGCCCGTTCTGCACATTCATATGCTGCCACGCCTATCTGTTGTGCTATAATACCTCACTATAAAAATGGACAATAGTAACAATGTCAGTACTAATGAAACCCAATTAACCCTTACAGCAATTTTTCATTTCCCTGCACTTACATGTTCAAATCCCATAAAATATATATGGATTTTTTATTGCTTTTTTACATTTCAACAGAGGAGTAGAATGCAGCTAGTTATAATCACTGCCATATTACTTTAATTGCTTCTGTATCTTAGACTATCTCTCTTGTATGTCTAGATAACTTTCCACTAAAATGGTGCCTTAAAAAAGCTACTTGCATTTGCACTTTCCACACAGGTAAGTTTTTAAATAGATAACCTCAGAAACAGGTAAATACATCAGCTGGGCATTTTAAAATGAGTATCTAAAGTCGAAAATGCCCTACAGTGAAGTTCTAATGACTTGGTTCCAAGCTTTAGACCTCAACAGGATATTATAAAACACAAAACAAAAATAATGCATGAGCACACAGCAAGTATTAGCTATAAATTACATAAATAATAAACCTCATATATATATTTACAGTTATATTTAAAATATACATAGCTGGTATGACAGTAAGTGGAATACAAATTTATTTTTACAGGTTACTTATATGAAACTATCTTTGACATTTTGTATTTCTCTGTCAATGGATGTTTAAAGTGCAATTACTATCATGTGAAGGTCCTAAAATTGTTGACAAATATTATCAGAAAGGTCAAGGTAATAATTCTTCTATTAAATTACATCAGAAAACAAGGGTAATTTTCCTACCTGTTCGTAACAGAATATTTCTTACCTTATTAGATACTGTCCAGAATTGGCGCTCTGAAGTCATACCATGTAATTCAATTAAAATCTGTCGAATCCTCCAGGGATCCACTGACAATATCAGCTGATGTTCCAACTGGCCAATGTTGACACTTGCTGAGGCTAAGAAAGGAAGAAGAGATTTCTATTTCAATAATGACTTAATTCAAAGATACACATAATCCTATAAATATGAGAATAACTGAGAAAAACTATTTATGTTTGAAAATATTTTATGTGTAACTTAAAAACATCTCATCTTGAGAACTGATTCTTTCAACATAATGTAAATTACATAACTATCTTTGTATAGAAAATCTAATATTTATATTTTCTAATTTAATAAATGCAATTAAGAGATAATGAAAATATAAACAAAGATAATACTCAGTAACTGGTTCACAGGAAAAAACTATGTTAGATATATGAAAAAATTAATTTATAGACAGTCTTCTACTTTTGGACATAATGCACTAACAAAAGCATGTATAAATAAAATGTTAATTTTGAAATAGTAGATAAAAGAATATGTTTTTTGAAGGGAGAGGAGGAGGAAGAGGAGGCTTTGCCTTCCCAGAGAACCAAGAGATGATCATTAAAATCCCTAATTACAACTTGGCTTTCAGACAGTCTTCAATAATCCATGTCCAGCATTTTATATGTGCTAATATTATTCTTTTCCTTTACAACAGGACAGCTGACCAGTTTAAATCTAGTGAGATTCCAGACAGCTAAAATTTTGCTTTTTTGTTAAGCCAACTGAATTCTCTATCTTACCTACATTAAGTCTTGGAGGTTATGTTTCTTATTAATTAACTATATTTTCTACTTACATTTATAAAATACAAGCAAAAATGGAAGAAAATCATTTAACAAGTACGTAAAAACGGCAGTGTTGCCAAAGCTGAAAGTTTAGCCAGCAGACAGAAGAACAGTGATAAAGGCCGAAATGCATGAAAGCCTGTATTTTTTTTGGGTCTTTAGCACCCTTTGCCACTCCCTTCTCCCCTCTTATTTTTATCTTCAAGAAGACATTAGCAAGACAGTTACCTTGGTCTGTTTCCCCAGCTAAAATCTTAGATGTACCTACACCTTAATCTCCGCTAACCACAGATTTAGCAGAGTCCCAGCACTTTACTGCTTAGGCAGAAATATGACTATTGAAGACAGGTAAATTTCTATTAATTACCAACGTAAGTATAAACTAAAACAAGAGGGCATCCTCAAATATCCCGAGGAGCAATTATAATAGAGGGGCAAAATGTGCCAACATTTTAGCTTGCAGACTAGAGAGCTAACCTGGGATATCATAAAATGAAGTTACAGGTTTAATGCACAGATTTACTCTAGGGGATCTCTTCCTCATCTGATCAACAAGTAGCTTTCGTTCTTCATCTTTCAACAATGTAATGAAAAGCTCATGTGAAGAAATCATGAAAACATACTGCAGATCTTCCAACCCCAGACACACATTCCTAGATCAGTAAGAAATATCGTAAAACAAAAAAGTGTATAATTTAGTTTGGGAAAAACAATCATATTAACCAATTTTTATTAATAAACCATATACCAAGCCACTGTTTCATATACTACATAATAATATTTTGAAATAGATTTTAAAATTTCTTTTTGGTCCTTATATAAAATTATGACGTCAATGCCACAATATACAAACAGATAGAATACTAAATTTTGTGTGGCTACACGAACCTAAACTTACCCTTAACTGGTTTCTCAACACCAATTACTCCCTGGTTATAAGATATGCAGAATAAATATAAAAGAAAGTAATAAAAGACATTTTTCTTGTAAGACTAAGTTCAAAGTTAAGAAAAATAAAGAAAGGCACTTACTTTAGAAAAGCAGCCATGTTTCCTTTCAAAGAATCTGAAGCTTTTTCTAAATTTATTGATCTTGAACATACCTAGGAATTTGAGTATTTTATTTGAGTATGAACACTTTAACAGGTGTACAGTACAGTTTATTAGATTTAAAATCAACAAAAATTTCCTTTTTTGGCTATATGTCAATCACAGATTTGGTAAAGCAATTTAAAAGATGAGAGCAAAGAATAAGAATCCATTACGGGACGAGGTAGGTGAATGTGATCATTTCAGTAACTGAAGGCATTTATATGTAGTAAAAAAAATTTATTTAGCATGGTACAGAGTTTTCTCAGACTTTATGTTACCAATTATAAGGAGTGATAAACTTTAAGAATCATTAGCCTGCAGAAAAATGAGATTTATCTTAGTTGAAAAGAATAATAGCTAAAGTATACAGAACCAAAGAGGGCAATCAAGGTTTAAAAATACAAACCCTGAAATAAAGAATACCAGAAACTAATTATGGAATTACGAGTTACCTACAAATAATATTCACATATTATCCTCAGTTTACTATTAGACTAGGATTCCTCCCATATATTTGCAAGAAGCCAAAACAAAACATAATTCATGTAAAAGTCCCTAACCTCAAGAAATTGTCAAATATCCAATATGTTGACACACATAGAAAAGTCATAGTATGTTTTTATCTGCATTATTTAGAATAGCAAAAAAGTGGAAATAATCCTGTAGTCCATAAATTTATGAATATATGCACAAAATAAACACTGAAGAGTATCTCCATTTAATGGAATATTATTCAGTCACAAAAAGGAATGAAGTACTGACACATGCTATAAGGATGAACCCTGAATACATTAAGTGAAAGAAGCCAGTTACAAAGGACCACATATTATATGATTTCATTTATACGAAATGTCCAGAATAGGCAAACCTATAGACAAAAAGTAGATTAGTAGTTGCCTGAAGTTGAAGGGAGTGAGGGAAAACAAAGGATGACCGATAATGGTTAAGAGGTCTTTATTGGGAGGTGAGGGGGTTGAAAATGTTCTAGAATTGATTGAAGTGATGTCTACGAAACTATGAATATATTAAGTATCATTGAATTGTACACTTTAAATGGGTAAACAGTATGATTTGTGAATTTTACCTCAATGAAGCTGTTATTAAAAGGAAAAATAAGAGTATTTTAGAAGTACCATGCTCAAAAACAATATTAAGTACTATGCTCAGATGAATAGGCTACCCAGGAATATGTGTTAACTTTTAATAGCAACATTAACAGATATGTGAATACACCTCAACTTTTTAAAAAGTACTTACTTAAAAACATGAAAGAGGAGACATATCTATAAATGCTGCAAACACTTAAAAAATAATAAAAACTTTCATATTAATAAACTTAAAAATTTAGATAAAGTAGACAAATTCTTAGAAAATAATTTTAAATTAATCAAGAAAAAGAACAGCTTTATTTCCACTGATGAAATCAAATCAGTGACAAAAATCATCCCACAATAAAAATCTCCAGGCACAAATCCTTCATTGGTAAATTCTACCAAACACTGAAAGAAGCAATGAGTACATTTTTACATGAACTTTTTAGGCAAGAGAAAAGATACACACCTCAATTTGTTTATGAGGCAAGCAGGACCTTGATACCAAAACCAAAGGCAAGGCAAAAAAATAAAGAAAAATGCATTCATCTCACACATGAATGTAAAAAAATCTTAAAATATTATCAAACCAAATCCAGCAATATATACTTTAAAAAGAAGACATGAACCTAAAATTAATATAGTGTTATATGTCAATTTTATCTCAATTAAAAAAAGAAAAGACCATGTTGGGTTTATTCCACACAAGCAAAGGTAGTTTAAAAATTAATTAATTAGTATACCTCACCACATTAATAGAAGAGAAAAATTATGCAATTGTAACACACATAGAAAAGGCATTAATAAAATCTAAAAATAATTCACAATTTAATTAAAAAGAGCCCTTAGTAAATTAGAGATAGACAGAAACCTCTTTACTCAGGTAAGAAAGAGCTAGAAAAACACACAAACATATTTCTACATGATGAAACAGTGCCAAGCTTTTCCTCTGAAATTAAGAATGAGACGAGAAAGCCCACAACAGCCCCTTCCATGAACTGTGTACTGGAGGTCACTGTCAGCACAATAAGTAATAAATAAAAAAAGGAAAAAAACATTATTTACAGATGAAGAATGTGTATTTAGGAAAACAAAGGAACTCACAGATAAATTAACAGAATTTTTAAGAGTTTAGCAAATAACTAGGAATAAAGTTAACCAAGAAGATGAAAGACCCTGTACACTGAAAACTGTAAGATATTGATAAAAGAAATCAAAGACACAAATAAATGGAATGATATTCCATAATCATGGATTGAAAGAGTATTACAATGTCCATACTACCCAAAGCAATCTAGAAATTGAATGCAGTCCCTTTCAAAATTCTAATGGCATTTTTCACAGAAACAGAACAAACAATCCTACAACTCACATGGAACCACAAAAGACCCCAAATAACCAAAGCAAACTTAAGAAAAACAAGCCAGAGGTATCATGGTCCCTGATTTTATACTATACTACAAAGCTACAGTAATCAAAACAGTATACTTGGCCTTGAAAACAGACACATAGATCAATGGAACAGAACAGAGAGCCCAGAAACAATTGTGGGCTACAAATTAATTTACTACAAAGGAGGCAAGAATACACAATAGGAAAAGGACAATCTCTTCAGTAAGTGGTGCTGGAAAAACTGGACAGCTACCTGAAAAAGAATGAAACTGAACCACTATTTTACACCCTATACAAAAATTAACTCAAATGGATTAAAGATTTGAATGTAGACCTAAAACCACAAAACTTCTAGAAGGAAACATAAGTGGTAAGCTCCCTGACATCAGTCTTAACAATTTTTTTTTATGATTCCAAAGGCAAGGGCAACAAAAGCCAAAATAAGCAAGTAGGACATCAAACTAAAAAGCTCTGCACTGTGAAGGAAACCATCAATAACTGAAATGTCAACCTACTGAATGGGAGAAGATATCTGCAAGTCATGTATCTGGTAAGTGGTTAATATCCAAAATACATAAAGAACTCTTACAACCCAACAACAAATAATCCAAGTAAAATAAGGGCAGACAATTTGTATAGCCATTTTTCTAAAGTCATATAGATGGCCAATGAGAACATGAAAAGATGCTCAACATCACCAATCATCAGGGAAATGCAAATCAAAACCACAATGAGTTATCACCTCACACCTAACAGTGGCTATTATCAAAAACACATAAAATAAATGTCAGTGAGGATGTGAAGAAAAGGGAACCCTGGTGCACTGGTGGTGAAAATGTAAACTGGTGCAATCATCATAGCAAACAGTATGGAGGTTTCTTGAAAAATTTAAAATAGAACTACCATATGATCCAGCAAACATTTCTACCTATTTATCCACAGGCAACAAAAACGTTAATTAAAAAGATATACTCATCCCCATGTACATGCAGCATTATTAAAAGACAATATATGGAAACCTAATGTCCACTGATAGATGAATGGATAAAGAAGATGTGGTACACATATACAATAGGAATACTACTCAGCCATAAAAAACAATGAAATCTTGCCATTTGTGACAACATAAATGGACATGGAGCATATTAAAAGTGAACTAAGTCAGAGTAAAAAAAACAGTAAGTGGAATAAAACAAAACAAAACCCACACTCACACACACAGAGAACACAGTGGTGGTTGCACAGAGTAGAGGGGGTTTGGAAAGGTGCGGGCATAAAATAGGTGAAGGGGGTAAAGAGGTTCAAGCTTCCAGTTGTAAAATAAGTAAGTCACAGAGATGCAAAACAGTCAATATTGTAACAACCTTGTCTGGTAACAGATAGCTTATTGTGATGATCAGTTCACAATTCATATAAATGTCAAATCATTATGTTGTACACATGAAATGAATATTGTATGTCAATTATACTTCAGTTTTTACAAAGTTTAGCCAAGTAGTTGGAAACAAAATCATTAAACAAAGTTCAAATGTACCTCTGTAACAATGCATAAACAATTTTCAAGTTAATATTAAAAAAACAAGACTTCCATGGAAAAAATTATGAAGCTCTGAAGGACATTGAAGAATGCTATAATAAATAAAGAACCATAGCAGTTGATGGATTAGAATACTATTGCAAGATATTTATTCTCCAATCGGTTTTAAATGTAATATAATTGCAAACAAAAATCCAACAGGCTTATTTGTGAAACTTGACAATATGATAGTCTACTGTTTACAAGAAAATGCGAAGAACAAGTATAACCAATAATACTAAGAATAACATAGAGTTTGTGCTTTAGATGTACTGACATTATGGATAGACAAATAGGGAAGTGTTATAGAATAGATCCAAGCAAGAGCCCACACACATATGGACACTTGGCATTCAAGAGAGGTAGCAATGGATATTTGAATCAAGATGGGCCTTTCAACAAATGGTACTGGAACAAAGGAGAGTCATATGAGGAAAAGTATGACATCAGATCCCCTACTTGTAACATAAAAGTTAAAAGCTTTTAAAACAATAAAAAGTTATTAGTTAAAAGGGAAGTCAAACTCAGAGAAGATACCTGCAAAATTTTAAACTGGTAAAGGACAGAATATATAAAACACTATAAAAAAACCTCCTACAAAAAAAACAACAATCCAATAGAAAACTGAGGCATACCACTTGGAGTTCGTATCTCAAAAGACAAAATCTGCATGAGCAAAAAATAAATGAAAAGCAGATAAATTCCTTAACAATAAGGGAAACAGAAATTAAAAAGTCAATGAGCTATCATTATACAATGACCTGACAGGCAAATTTGACAAAACCAACTATTGACAAGGATGTTGACCAACAAGAACGCTCATGCATGCCGGTTGCAGACATACTTTGCTATTATAATATTGCAGATACACTTTCCCTAGGGATATAACACAAATGGTACGTGTGTGCACCAGTACATATGTACTAGCATGTTTCAAGTAACACAACAGCCACAATCTGAGAACTAAGCAAATGTCCATCACCCTAAGAATGAATAAATTGTGGCACTGTCATACGTTACAACACCTTATGGTAAAAAAAAAAAAAAAAAAGATAATTGGAATAAAACAAATAGAAAAAAAATCTCACAAGTATGCTTAGTGAAAGAAAATAAAAAATACATTTTGCATGTTGTCAGATATACATAAAAATTCAAAACAGGCAAATTAAAGAATATTCTATAAGCAAGGAAATGATTATCACAAAGGTGGGACAGTGGCTTCCTCAAGGCAGAGGCAAAACAGTCTGGTAAAGAGTGTAAGGACTTTCAGAATGTTGGGAATGTTGTATTTTTGGAACTAAGTAATGTCAATTTTGCTTCCCATACTTATCCCCATGTCTATTACATTAAGACTGCTAAAGAAAGATTCAGTAGAAACACAGATTCCAGAGCTCACATGAGAAGCTAGAGGTGTAATCTGAGAGTTCTTTGTAAATGACTGAACAGGTGACTAAGCTTTGAATGAGAATATAAAATGAGGTGAGAAGATGAGTGAGCCAAGGACAAAACTTTTTAAACAAAAACACCGAAGGGACAGCAAAAGAGAAGTCAATGAAGGACTAAGGAAAATACGATATGGAGGAGAACTAGAAAAGAGCTCTAGAAGACAAGGCAGTGCCAACCATCAGCCAGAAATTAAGTCAAATGAAGACAGAAGAGGGTACTGGATTTGGCAGTCACTGGTAAGTTTAAAGCAAAAATATAACCAAAAGGGGGAAAAATGTCTTACCTCAAGAAGAAAGTCTATTTTCTCTTTATTAGGTCTAAGAAATAGCTGGTTAAATTGAACACTAATTGTTCTACCTTCCAATATATCACGGACTGTATTACAGGCACAGACTTTAAAACAGATTTCATCTAGAGCTTCATTTCTGTAGAATACAAAAGTAGATCCACTAATATTTTTTTAATAAAAGAAAGACAAGTATTAATACTAAATTCACAGGAATAAGCCATTTATTCTTGAGAGGTAAAACTGTAGGATATTCAGGCATACTAGTAAATACCAATTCAGGGAGGGGAAAAGGCAGAATAGTAAGGTTTTGAATTTATCAAGGAATAATTTAGTTAGACTGGGTAACAGAATTGAATTCTGCTATGTATAATTTTTCCCCAAGCACTTTTAAAATAGATTTAAGATGAACATAAAATAGCTCCTCTTACGTTAATTTTCCACATACTCACACAAGCAAAAGTATTGCCGCAGACTTAAATAGGTAATGTGGAAGTGTGTTGTTGATAAAATCATAAATGCACACGCCCTTTTATTTAAACATCAGAAAGTAATTCTTTTATTTACTTACCCTTGCTGAGCTTTCTGAAAGAGTTCTCTCAGTACTGACTGCCGGAACTGGACAGGCAAACTGAAGGTTAAGTTATCTTCAATGAAAATCTTTATTACCTCCTAGAACACAGATATAAAATGGCATCCAATTCAAAAATCATGGCAAAGTTTCTTTACTTTAAAAAAAAAAAACTTTGCCCCCAAAAAGAAAAGCCTTTCTATAATGGACAATACACATTGAAGAAAATCATAAAAATATCTCACTAGGAAAATATTCTCTATCTAGACTTTTAAAATTACATTAAGGGTAAAAAAAAGTACCCCCATCCCCTTTTTAAACTGAACATCATGGACCAAAAATGAGAGGTGAGGGAAGAATTAATCAGTAAGCAGCAATTCAACTATGTTTTTAGAGAAAAGTTTTAAATATTTTTTTCATCCACTTTAAACATACTACAGACTTTTAAAAATACTGAAGCATAAAGAAGGGGGCCAAAAAAAAAAAAGTCCTGAAGCAATTAATTTAAAATAATTCAGCTGGAAAAACCTTATGCTAAGAAACTATTCTAGCAAATTTATATGGCTTAAAATATACTATTTTAAGTGAATTACAGAAAATACCCACATTGTAACATGCAGACTTTTTCTCAGTGATTTATCAAACAATGGAAGAGGAGAAAGAAGGGGTATAAAGTATTAGAAGATGGGTAAGAGAATCTCTGGAAATAGCTAAAGCTAACCAATCAGCTGCCACCTCAGAAGTGCTGTTCCAAAACTACAGAACAGCCATCGTTTCACTTCCACAGCAAAACACAAGCAGTGCAGGATACAGGGGGCAAGAGGGCCACTTCCCAAATGTGAGAAGAGATGTCTCTTCTAGCTGTTTAAGGCGTGCTTGATCAGGACAAAACAAAACCTTTACACAGGCCTACCTCGTTTTATTGTGTTTCACTTTATTGCACTTTGCAGATACATGGTTTTTTTTTGCAAGTTGAAGGTTTATGGCACCCCTGCATCAAGCAAGCCTATTGGTGTCGTTTTTCCAAAAGCATTTGCTCACTGCCTGTCTCTGTCACATTTTAGTAATTCTCAGAATATTTCAAACTTTTAAATTATTATACTTGTTATAGTGATCTGTGATCTCTGACACTACTACTGCTATTATTTTGGGGTACTATGAACTGCACCCACATAAGACAGCAAACTAAATATATGTGTGTGTTCTGACTGCTCCACTGACCAGCCATTCCCCATCTCTCCCCTCTCCTCAAGCCTCCCTAGTCCCTGAGACATAATACTGAAATTAGGCCAATTAATAACCCTACAATGGCCTATAAGTGTTCAAGTGAAAGGAAGAGTCACGTCTCTGGTTTTAAATTAAAAGCTAGAAATGATTAAGCTTAGTGAGGAAGACATGTCAAAAGCCTAGACAGGTCAAAAGCTAGACCTCTTGCGCCAACTAGCCAAGTTGTGACTGCAAAGGAAAGGTTCTTGAAGGAAATCAGAAGTGCTACTCCAGGGAACACACAAGCAATAAGAGAAACAGCCTTACTGCTGATATAAAGTTTTAGTGGTCTGGATAGACTAAACTTGCTACAACATTCCCTTAAGCCAAATCTAATCCAAAGCAAGGCCCTAACTCTCTTCAATTCTATGAAAGCTGGGAGAGGTGAGGAAGCTGCAGAAGAAAAGCTAGAAGCTGACAGACACTGGTTCAAGAAGTTTAAGGAAGGAAGCTGTCTCCATAACAGCAACGTGCAAACAACAAATGCTGATGCAGAGTTGCAGCTGGTTATCCAGAAGATCTAGCTGAGAGAACTCATGGTTCTTCTATACCACACAACAGATTTTCAGCCTTCTTTTGGAAGAAGATGCTATGCAGGATTTCCATGGCTGGAGAGAAGTCAATGCCTGGCTTCAAAGGACAGGCTACCTCTCTCGTTAGGGATTAATGTAGCTAGTACTTTAAGTTGAAGCCAATGTTCATAAGGCATTCCAAAAATCTTAGGGCCCTTAAGAAATATGCCCAATCTACTCTGCCTGTGCTCTATAAATGCAATGACAAAACCTGGATGACAGTACATCTGTTTACAACATGGCTTACTGAATATTTTAAGCCCACTGTTGAGACCAACTGCTCAGAAGAAGATTCCTTACAAATTACTGTTTGTTGACAATGCACCTAGTCACACAAGAGCTGTGATGGAGATGTTCAATGTTTCCATGCCGGCTAACACAACATACATTCTGCAGCCCTCACCTCAGAGAGTAATTTCAACTTTTGAGTATTACTATAAATACTTTCATAAGGCTACAGTGGCCAAAAATAGTGATTCCTCTGATGGATCTGGGCAAAGTAAATGGAAAGCCTTTTGGCAAAGATCTACTGTTTAAGAAGCCAATAAAAATATTGGTGATTCACAGGAAGAGGTCAAAATAATCAATACAAACAGGAGTTTGGAAAAAGTTGATTCTAGTCCTCATGGATGACTCTGAGGGGTTCAAAACCAGTGGAGGAAGTAACTGCAGATGTGGTGGAACGAGCAAGAGAACTAAAAGTGGAGCCTAAAGATGTGACTGAAATGCTACAATCTCATGATTAAACGTGAACAGATATGGAGTTGTTTTTCCTGGATGAGCAAAGATGTTTCTTGAAATGGAATCTACTGCTGGTGAAGATGCCATGAATACTTTTTGAAACAACAACAAAGGATTTATAATATTACAAAAACTTGGTTGATAAAGCAACAGCAGGCTTTGAAAAGACTAACTCCAATTCTGAAAGGAGTTCTACTGTAGGTAAGATGCTATCAAGCAGCATCTAATGCTACAGAGAAATCATTTATGAAAGCAAGAGTCAACTGATACAGCAAACATCACCGCTGTCTCATTTTTAAGAAACTGCCAAAGCCTTCAGCAGCCACCACCCTGATCAGTCAGCTGCCATCAACATAGAGGCAAGACCCTCCACGAGCAAAAAGATGATGACCTATTGAAAGCTCAGGTGATAAGTGGCGTTATTTAAGCAACAAAGTATTTTTAATTAAGATATGTACATTTGTTTAGACATAATGCTGTTGCACACTTGAGTATAGTACAGTGTAAACATAACTTTTACATGCAATGGGAAACCAAAAAGTTCATTTGACCCACTTTACTGCAACATTCGCCTTATTGAGGGAGTCTGAAACTGAACCAGCAATATCTCTGAAGTCGGCCTGTAGTTCATATAAAGAGAATCCTATTCCCAAAAAAAGGTTAAATATGACTTCTAAGATACTCCTGCAATATATAACTAGAGTAATAAATTTCAAAGTTGCAACAAAATTGCCATTTTCTCCTTTCTAGCTACCAACTACAGTACTTCCTGATTCACACATTTGGGCACTTTATTATATTAACAGTAAGTCTGTAAAGATACATTAACTGGAAACAGCCAAGACATGGAAGCAAGATAAATATCCATCAATAGATGAATGGATAAAGAGATGTGGTACATGCACACATTGGTGTATTATTCAGCCATAAAAGGAAAAGAAATCCTGCCATTTGCAACAACATGGATGGATATAGAAGATATTATGCTCAGTGAAATAAGCCAGGTGGAGAAAGACAAATGCCATATGATTTCACTTATTTGTGGGATATAAATACAAAGCAAAACAGAATGAACAAAACAACAGAAGACTTATAGACACGAGAAGGGACTGATAGTTACCATGCAGGAGGGATAGAGGTGGTGAGTGGGTAAGGAGGTTGAGGGTGATAAAGGATCACAAAAATTATCAATCATAGTGTAGGCTGGCCAAGAGATAGTATTACAGCATGGAGAATACAGCCAATAGTTCTGTGAAATCTTTCTGTGTTGACAGATGATAGCTATACTGGTGGGGGTAAGGAATTAATAATATGGGTAACCATTGAACCACTGTGTTCTGCACTTGAAATTAATATATGATTGTACATATTAAAAAAAAAGATACGTAACTGGAAGATCTCTAGCCTTTAATAAAATTCATCTCCATCTGTAATCCATTTCAAGAAAGTTTGGTTTTCTTCCCTAGGGCAAAGCACAATTTGAAAAAAGGGGCAGGGGGAGACGGAGGAAGTACTATGCCCTCTCTTCAATTTTCGATGAAAAAAAAAAAAACAAACTCTAGTTGATGAGAGTGAACTAAAAAAAAAAAAGCTGGGCTAAAAGCCCACTTGGAGACACAAAACTGAAGGTATTTATACTATAAAGTAATTTCATTATTCCTATTCTGAAATAGTAACATGAAGACAAGTGTTCACTTTCTAGAACAAAGGCTTTCCAATAAAAGACTCTAAAAGTCCAAATTCTAATTCCCAGTGATGGTTATTAAAGATATATACACAGAGAGGGCAATAAAAATCTCAACAGATTAAGCCCTTTTCATGAGTAAAACTGAGATGACCAGTCTCCTCAGCAGAGCTGGCTCTGTAAGAGGCCGTCCAAACCCATCAACGCCACTGTGCTCCCTTTTTCCTTCAGTCTTAGTATTTGCCATGGCTAGTAAGGCTGGGCTACAAGGCCGTACTTTCAAATCGGACACAAGGCTTTAGGCTCCAGGAAACTGAAAGTTTTCTACCTATAATTTTAAAAGTGGAAAGCTCCACTTACAGAGTTTCTTACATAATTTTTTGAAAATGGGCAAACTATACCTTTAAGAAAGAATAATATCAACAATAAGGAGTAAACATCTGCAGAGTGCTTTGGTTCAGTTTATAGATTAGAACGACTCCATGATTCTCGTAAGATTCTCCATGATTCTAATCAGAAGCTAATGAAATAGTATTGACAGATAATCTTTTATATTACAAGCTAATGTTGCAGTATGACATGCCCCAAACCACACAACTAGTAATTGTGTGATTTGGTGTGCCAGGATTTGAACTCAGTTCTGACCTCTAAAGCTTTACAACTACATTACTGCCTCCACACCATACATCTTACCTGACAGTTGCCAGATCTCAAACAAATATGGACTTGACTATATGGAGTCAATTGTTGAGCTGTACTGTCAGAAGACGGTACAAGAACATCACATGCTTGACAATAGCCAGCTAACCGCTTCTCATCTATGGTACAATGAAGAGATAATGAACCTATCTGTAAAGTAAGAGGTATATATCATTATCCATCAATATAACAGAAAAAATAGTCTAGCAACCACTTAGTGCATTTTAACAGTACAAGAAAATACTAATGGAAAATTCAGGATTGGAGGAATCATAAAAAAGGAAAAGGTTAAAGGTTTAGAGTGGGGATTAGCAAACTAATGCTCACAGGTCAAATCTGGCCCATAGCCTGTTTTTGTACAGCCCCTGAGCTAGAACAATTTTTAGGGTTGTAAAGAGGAAAATGACAACAAATGAGCAATTATGCAACAGAAACTATACATGGCCTACAAAGCCTTAACTATCTACTATCTGGCCCACTACAAAAAAGTTTGCTGACTCCTGGTTAGCTTTCAGGTCAATATACCAAAGGTAGACATTATTATCACTCTAAGTAGAATGACTATTAAGACACTGATTAATAAAGAGTGAACACTGTTAAAAAAACAAGCTTAAAATATTCAAAAACAGATATACCTGGCAGAGATTTTAAGGGGGAGAGCTAAAACTCATAACCTTTAGTCAATGCAATGAATATAAATGCTTCTACAAAACACAAAGACTTTTTAAAAGAACATACTAAAAAAAAGTTTTAAATTATTATACCTGACATGTCATAAAATTAGAAATCTGATGAGTTCCCTGGGCAAAGTAAAATGGGAATTCCCAGTGGGTCTAGAACACATTTAAAGTAAATATCTAGCACACTTAATCAATTTCTCTAGTGAGGAAAGGAGGGAGAGAAGTGGAACTTTTTCAAGACACCAAGAATACAAAAACCTTGTTATACACTTTAAAGTTTAGTTGTCTGAATCATAAAAAGAAAAATGCAAATGACAAACACATGAAAAAGTTTACCCTATGAATCAAAGAAATTCAAATTTTTAAAAGATACATTTCATCAAATTAGCAATTTAAAAAAAAAACTTCACTGCTGAATGGTTTACCCTCAGAAAAACGTACCTGGAAAGCAATTTGCTTTTATATATACAACCTTCGAAAAATTAGTAACCACTGACATGGTAATTCTACTTGTAGGAATTTAACTCAAAAATATCTAAAATCCAAACAAAATTTATGCTTGGAGATACAAATACTATAGCTTTATAATAAATAACAGTGAACAACCTAAATGCCCAAACATTAGGGAAATCAAGTAAATCACAGTACACCCTTGTAACAGAATATTTAAAATGTCTACTCAAAGATTTAAGCAAGACGGAAGACAATACATATAGTATGAGCTTAACTGTATAAAAACCAAGAAGAAAAACTGGAAGAAAATAAGCTCAAATGGCAAAAGGGGTTATTTCCAGGCAGTAGTATTACAGATTTTTTAAAAATGTTTTCAGTGCTTTTTTTGAACTTACTACATTTACTACAATGAACTCCTACAGGTTTTTTATCATCAGAAAAATTAAAGCCAAAAAAATATATACAGGTTTTTTAAAGGACTGAATATTACGTGCCTGTATTTACCTCTGCAATTAGTTCCTTAGTTCTAAAAAACTTTTCCCTTGCATTTTCATATACAGTTGAATCTGTAGAGCCTTGCTGGAAGTATGCTGCACCCAAATCATAACACACCTAAAACGGTAATGAAAACCAATTTGCTTAGTAATTTTTCAATAAATTAAAAGCTGACAGAACTCAAAATTGTATTTATATATCAGCAAAACTATTTTTATACTTACATAGGAAAAAACAGTGAAATATTATCAATGTTCTTAGTCATAAGCAATAGAAACCAACTCTGATTTAAGCAGAAAATAGATGTACTGGTAGATTTCAGGTGCCTTACAGAACTATTAGGAAGGTGAAAGAACCAGGCTTGGAAAGCAGAATGGGGCAAGAGAGGCAAGCAGCCGGGATGAGAGCCCAATCTGGTCTAGTGAGATACCCCTCAGCCTCAACACTAGATCCACAGCCCACCCGGCCTGCAGCAGCTCCTCCTGCTAGGGCTGCTCCTGGGGACTAAATTTTACTCTCATTGGTGCTGCTACTCACCACCACAGTGGACTCTCTATCATCCTCACTTCACTGACCTACCAGCTCCTCATTCAGACTAAAGTAAACGGTACCTGTCTGTCCTACCTGTGATATGCTTGTCCTCAGGCAGAATAAGGCTAGAGAAAGCTAGTATCTTGAGTTTTCAGTTCTATTACAGAAAGCAGGCTCTGCCTCCCATGAAGTCTCAGGAGATAGGGAGTTCTTCTAACATGGGAGAGGGGGACACTGGGGAGTTCTTCCAAAAGTGGGTGGGGGCGAGGTGGAACACATGTCTGCTATGCCAGAAATGGCCAGAGTAAACTAGTGAGAAATCTGAATAACTACAAAATGACAGTGCATTTCCAGTTGTCTTTGTCTGATAGAATTTGTATATTTTTCCAGTAACTCTCTTAAATTAGTAACTACATTCACCAAATGAAGAACTCACAGGTTCAGACTGTTTAGTACAACTCTGCCATTTTATGGACAAGAATACTAAGGCCCAGAAAGTGGCATGCCTGCTTAAAAGCACATTAACAATGTACTGGCCGAGTCCACACTTGAACCCAGGTCCCTAGGTTCCCAATATCCTTTCTCAAGCTTATTATACACATGATTGGCAGGTCAATCTTCTTGATCTTTCTTAAAAAGTCTTCAAGATATTCCCCCAAGTAGGAGAGAGTTCAAACCCCCTGGCCTGACCTTCAAGAATCTTGGAATCTGTACTACCCTTTCTCTATTCCACTTCAGTCACAGACTCAATTCCCCACTCATAGCAGATTCTAGATATGAACTTCATTCCACACCCCTAGTTTCTATTTATACCAAACCTTAGTGCAGGGAGAGAGAGGGGGAAAGAAATGTACGCATTTCCCTTTCCTGGCAAAGACAGAGTATGAGGAAGGTAATAAAAATATACTTTTAAGCATTACTATACTAACTGACTAGCCATTAACAGGAATTTAAATATCCTAGTTAAGAGGTCAAAAGATTATACAATAAAAAAAAAAGAAACAAAAACACCTGATAACGAAGTTGCCCTGAAAGGCAATAATACTTTTAGCTTTCTAGGGAAAAAAAATTAAAGATTTTACTTTTTGGGTCAGTTTTAGTAATATAAAGGAACACTTTTAAATATTAATATGTCAGGAAATGAGTATTACCACTAATTTGCCATTCAAAAAATAGGAATTACGACATGGTTATGTAAATAATAGAGTAGTTGATAAAGTTTACCTAGCATAGCTGGGTGTACCTAGCATATCTAGGTGTTTTATACGAGTTTGTTTTTCAGGTTTTATGATCCACTATATTGCAGAAATCAGAAGTGTTACCAAAAACTTTTTTTTTTCCAGTAACTTGAACAGTCTCACCAATGATACAGTACTACAGCACCAGAAGACCTCAAATATGAAAGTTTTACTAGCAACTTCAAGAGGTTACTGATTGTCAATGCCTCATTCTTCTACTCCTATCATCAGGTCTTGAAAAAAGCATGACCTTCAACTCTGGAACCAGTTAATCTGTAACCGCACCTCCCAACACTCTGTTACAGCTACTTCTGCCCCTTTCAGGAATGGAAAATGGCGATCAAAGAAGTCATACCAACTCATACAACAAATAAAATACAGACTACAAAAGGTACTTTATCTAGTAGCCCTCTTCAGGCAATTATCGAATATTTATTAATTTCAATTATACTCAAGGCTCTGTGCCAGAATGAGAAAGATGAAAAATATACTTTAAAAAAGAAATGCCTCAAAGAATTTACAATCCAACAGGGAAAAAGAAGACATGAATACATAAAATAATACCTAACAACAAACATCAACTGAAAGCTGTCAAAGGAACTAGGGTCAGAGTTACAGAAAATAGACAACGTCAAGATACCTGAAAAACTAGATTTTATTTTCTAGGGAACTATGTTTTTCAAAGTCTAGCACAATATTAGAGTGTGTGTGTGTTGGTCTGATTAGATTTCTAGTAATAAGAATGAGCTATAAATCAGTTACATACTTACTGCATTCTCGCTATTTAAAGTCTTTCTCCTAAATGTAACTGGGAAACTATTTCAGAGACAATAGATCAAATGAAACTTCCCTTCCATTTCTTCTAGAAAAATGTCAAATGAGGTCTTAATAAATTTATAAATATTAGGCAAAATCTTAATAGTATCTTAAGACAAAATCAAAGAGACAAAGGCAGAAATAAATTCTAATTAGAAATGCTAGAAAATATAGGACAATCTCATATAAGAGTTTCCAAAAATTTGCCATGCATTAGTTAAATACGGAAATAAATACCTGGCACTGCATCTCCTCAGTTTTGATTTTCAATCCAGCAGTAGAACTCTCAGTTTCTCCATTTACCATGCCTGGCTCCATGGCCAATAAATCTAGCGTTCTCATTGTGTGGACATAAAGATCCTTGTTTAATTTAAGAGCTGCCTCCAGTACCAAAATAGAATCAGAAGCTTGTTCTTTTAGCTACAAAAATTCAATAAACAGATTATTAAAATACAAAATGGCAAGAATGGACTATATTAACCAAAATATATTTACACAATACTCAGTGATTTAGTATACTAAGCTATTGAAAAATGCTTAACACAGGAATGCAATTAAATTTGTGGAAAAGGTTATCTCAATTAAAAAGTTAAGTAATTAAAATTAAAAAAGCAGTAATTTTATATTGTGAAATTTAAAAATTGGTAATGATATCCTTTTTTCTACAGAAAAGCTAATGAAAAATGCTTTAAAGATTTGCACTGTTCCACTGATTTATTCAATAAACGCTTCAATATAACAACCTCTGATGCAGGTTTTTTGCTTCCACAAAGTACTATAGCATTTGTTTTATATAGACACAGATTGTTTCTTATCTTCCCTCTTCTTTCCAGCCCCTGCACTTTCTATCTCTGGCATACTGTAGGTATTAAACATAGGCTAGACAGAGAAAAATTTTAAATTATGTGAACTCTCACATTTCTACTTTTATATTAACTAGATCAAATAAAAAATAACTTATTCTGACTATAAAAGTAACTTTAAAATATAATGCACGTATATTGTAAAATTTTGGGGAAATACGAAAGAATTTAACACCATCACCTCTAATAGTGATTTCTCTTACCTGCTAAAGTACCATAAAATATTCAACACATTTTCTCTTACCTGCTAAAGTATAGCACTCTATCAAAAAATCTGTACAATTTGGAATGTTACCAAACTATGTTCTAACAGTAAAAACATAAATGTTATTGCTTCTAGATCTTGCCAACTCTCATATACCTAAAATTAGAAAAAGCATCTAAATTTACCCTAAATGTGTCCCAGAAATATTAATGTGTAACTGATGCCAATACTCACCAATTTCAATATATTTTCTGTTAGTTCTTTCTCCTGTTGCATCTGATTCATACTAATAGAGAAATGATTAAAGATAATACGATATTACTAAAAAGACTGAAAAATTCAAAATATAAGAGTATCATTCTTGAAAGTGAAGTTACATATTAATAAAAATGTTTTATTACTATTTCTTTCCATACTTAAAAAGAAACCCATTATGATGATACTTATTTATTTACCATTATTTTCTCATTTTCTTTGCCTAAAAAAAAACCCTGAATTTAAAAGTCAAACTTATTTTTATGCTCAAGCAAAAACTTACTTACATCAAGTTAGAAACTATGCTCTCTAGTTCCAAATTTGGGTAAGCTGCTAACTAGAATTTAAGAATTAGATTTAAAACTCCAGATACGATCAGACTTTTATAATTAACTTTTGTATTCTAATATTTACACAGATCAAAATAATTGCCCTACACATAGAACAAATGTTATCTTCAAGTAAATTTAATTCGATGAAAAAAAAAAATCTTCACTTAATACTCTGAAGCAAGTCAGCCACCACTTATTAAGATGAAAGGCACAATTCACAAAGCGCTCCCCTTTCTCAGAGCACTCTGCTCCAGGTGTGCGGAGTACTGCTGCGTTCTCTCACCCTGCCATCTCCTCCAAACTCACCTTCATGAAGGCCTCCTCCCCTCCTATTTCTGCTCTACTCCTTCTGTATCAGAGATTATTAAAAACTTGCAATTTTTTAATTCTGATGAAAATAGTATTAATAAAGGGTGGTATCTGCCAACTTACACACTTAACTGAGGAGGTCCAGGTTTTGCCTGTTTGATAGGAAAACTACTTTGAACAATTGTCCGAACTGCCCTGAAGAAAAGGTAAGAAGAAAAAGAAAATTAGTAAACTTTTCAAGTACTTCTTAGAAGATTTATATTATACTAACTGAAGTTTTAATTGACATATAATAAAAACTTCAGAAATCATCCACATTTTTATCAGAATGCTTTTCATCTTCACCGTCAACTCACAGTTCCCAAGATCCTCTGAGACATCTCTGGAGTGTAATGGGCCTCTTAAAAGCATACCCCTAAAAGCCAGAGTACATTTAAACAGAGACTGCCCAATACATATTATGTTTACCAAAAAATTTACCATCTATTGTAGAGAAGTATAGCCATGGCAGTGGTTGGAGGTAAAGTGGCCAGATCCATGTCCACATGCTTTGTCCCAGGAGGAACTTTACTGATGCACAGCAGTTCATTTAGTAGCATATTCAATACTGGGATGGACAAACTAAATAAAAAAAAGTAGCTGAAGGTACATGTCTGCATTTTAGCTATTTAAGAAGCACAATATACACAATTCAGTATCCTTATTGAAAATAATTACATCGTTTAAGGACTAAATCTACAGGACCATTTAATTAATCTGTCCCAACAACTTATATAAAAATACCAAATTTTAAAAGATTTTTAAAACCTTATGAAAACAATTTAAACATATACAAAAGTAAACAGAATAATATAATGAACCCCCATATGACCATTATCCAGCTTTAACATATATCAAACTGATGGCAACTTTCATCTTTACTCTCACATCCTTTCCTCCTTCCCAATTATTGGGAAACAAATTTCCAGTGTTAAGTAATTTCGTCCATAAGTTTTCAGAAGAGACTGCCAAAAAATTAAGCTTATTCAAAGTACCAATTTCACATCTAAGAAGTTTTCAATTGCTTATTACTATCAAATATCCAGTGTTCAATTTTCCAACTATATCATAGACATACTTTTTTGTACACATTGCTATCTGCTGATACGCCTCTCTAGTCTACTAATGGATAGGTTCCCCCTCAGATTAAAGAAAAATTTTTTTAACTCTAATATTTAATGTGGGAGAATGGGAAAACAGTGTTTACTAGTGAGGGTATCAATTAGTACTACTTTCATGGAATGCAAACTGGCAGTATGCATTTTGTGCCTTAAAATCCTCCTGAGCCAACAATTTAATAAGTTGTACAAGGACACAACTAAAAACAAAATGGGGAACTATTCATGATATTGTTATATGGGGGAAAAATAAAAACAGTATATAGAGTACGATCACAACTTTAAAATATGGGGAGAAACAACAAAAATTACACACAAAAAGTGTTAAAATAAAAATACTTCCCTCCCCCAACAGCTGGTGTTGGCAAAACTGGAAAGCTACATGTAAGATAATGAAACTGGATTACTGTCTAACCCAGTACACAAAAGTAAACTCAAAATGGATCAAAGACCTGAATGTAAGTCATGAAACCCCGTACACAAAAGTAAACTCAAAATGGATCAAAGACCTGAATGTAAGACATGAAACCAGAAAACTCCTAGAAAAAAATATAGGCAAAAATCTCTTGGACATAAACATGAGCAACTTTTTCATGAACATATCTCCCCAGGCAAGGGAAACAAAACCAAAAATGAACAAGTGGGACTATATCAAGCTGAAAAGCTTCTGTACAGCAAAGGATACCATCAGTAGAACAAAAAGACATCCTACAGTATGGGAGAATATATTCATAAATGACAGATCCCAATAAAGGCTTAACATCCAAAATATATAAAGAGCTCATACACCTCAACAAACAAAAAGCAAATAATCCAATAAAAAAATGGGCACAGGATCTGAACAGACACTTCTCCAAAGAAGAAATTCAGATGGCCAACAGACACATGCAAAGATGCTCCACATTGCTAATCATCAGGAAAATGCAAATTAAAACCACAATGAGGTATCACCTCACACAAGTTAGTAAGGCCAACATCCAAAACACAAACAACAACAAATATTGGCGAGGATGTGGAGAAAGGGGAACCCTCCTACACTGCTGGTAGGAATGTAAACTAGTTCAACCATTGTGGAAAGCAGTATGGAGGTTCCTCAAAACAGAAGTACCATTTAACCTAGGAATTCCACTTCTAGGAAGTTACCCTAAGAATGCAGCAGCCGAGTTTGAAAAAGACAGATGCACCCCTATGTTTATCACAGCACTATTTACAATAGCCAAGAAATGGAAGCAACCTAAGTGTCCATCAGTAGATGAATGGATAAAGAAGATGTGGTACATATACACAATGGAATATTATTCAGCCATAAGAAGAAAACAAATCCTACCATTTGCAACAACATGGATGGAGCTAGAGGGTATTATGCTCAGTGAAATAAGCCAGGTGGAGAAAGACAAGTACCAAATGATTTCACTTATCTGTGGAGTATAACAACAAAGAAAAAACTGAAGGAACAAAACAGCAGCAGACTCACAGAACCCAAGAATGGACTAACAGTTACCAAAGGGAAAGAGACTGGGGAGGATGGGTGGGGAGGGATAAGGGGGAAAACGGGGCATTACAATTAGCACACATAATGTAGGGGGGGTGGGGACATGGAGAAGGTAGTATATACAGAGAAGACAAGTAATGATTGTATAGCATCTTACTACACTGATGGGCAGTGACAGTAATGGAATATGTGGGGGGGACTTGATAATAGGGGGAGTCTAGTAACCATAATGTTGTTCAAGTAATTGTACATTAACAATATAAAAAATAAAAAAAACTTCCCTCCCCTATTCCTATATTCTGAATTTTTCCATATTTTCTATAAGGTATTTGTTTAAATTGTGAAGTGAAGGGGATGTAAACAAAACATTTTCTAAGTACAGCCTTGAAAATATTTATATGTAAACAAGTGCTGACTCTAATAAGATATTATCATAATTTGGGAGACAGTGACTGATTTATGACCAGAAAATTAATTATCCAACAGCAAATCATCCATTATGTAACATCCATCTCAATTTTTATTCATTTTCTTCAGATACATAAAGGGAAACTAAACATTTAAAACCATTTGTGTTAATCTTCTAGTTACCACATCTAATCATCACCACCATCTTCAAATACCTTATTAATAACATCAAATTTATACTTTAAAAGACCATTTAAACCCATCTAACATTCAAATACTTTCATATACCTTCTGAAAAAGATTTGCATATTTTACCAAGAATATACAGAAAAAAATTCATTTTAAGGGCTGGTATCGAAAAGCACGTATAGAAATAAACTAAGATATTTCAATAGCACTTCAAAAAGAATTTCATTTAAATCTTGTATACCTTTTCTCTAATATGTCTAAGTCCCACTTCAGATGTGCAGCAACTTTAAGAGCAAGTAGTTTTAAAATACGGTTTCTTTTGTTATCAGGTGGAGGCTGAACTTGGTTTTGTTCATTAACTGAAGGTTTGGAAGCTTGTTCCAAAAACTGAACAATAAGTTGAACTGGTGCAGGATCTAGGATTAAAAGAAAATAAATTCTAAATTTAAGTTTTAATTACGAGGATGCAAAACGAGTCACTGTACTGGTTTTTGGCCACAAAAGGAATCCAAACAGGTGTGCAGTTATAATGAGTAAGGAATATGATTTATAAGTGTGCCTGAGAATTTAAGGGGAAGATATCAGGATGGGTGGTAAGGAGGAAGAGAGAATACATTCGTGAAGAATACACTTTAAAGGGGAAACTATAATGGTTATAGATTACCGGTTCAGCAAATAGCCAAAGTCAGTTAGAGAAAAGAGATGACATCTTTAGAATTACCGCTTTAACACTTAATTAGAAGGACCTGCATCAAGTTACCCCTCTGCACTTGTGTGCATCAATAAAAATAGAGAATAATACCACCCACATCACGGATTACAAAGGCTGATTTAAACAAAATAACAGATGTGAAGCATTCAGCACAGAGCCTGGCACCCAGGAAGCATTCAACGAATGTTTGTCAAAAGCAAAGTTAAAAGAGCACAATATAATATAGGTGGAAAGTACACGAACTTCTCGCACAGTAGTCTCCATCATTTAAGGAAAAAACCACATCTGGATTCGAACTTTATCGCCAAAATACTATTCAAGAAACTTGCTTTTCATGCCAGTACCTCTTTCCAGAAATGCCTGGGGTTTTCCGCCTTCCTCAATAACAGTACTAACTGGGGTATTAATCATGATCATCATTCTACAATAACATACATGATACAATATACATCTTGCAAAGGTATAGCATTTCCTGCTTTCATTTTAATTTACAGCCTAACTTTGGAATATATAATTAAGAGTTAGTAAAATCCACTCGTTGAGGAACATGAACAGTTAACCCAAGCTATAAACAGCGCCACGTTCAGCACCAGAATACCTGATTTCTCCCCAACTCTCCCGGGGTACTGTCAAGAGGATTCGAGCCAGCCTCTTCTACCCAACACATCTCCCAAGACCACCTTTAGCAGGTGCTGAAACCCCAACCAGTAAAGAACCGCGGGGGGACGGGGTAGGTTTGAAGAACCTTTGTTTTGAGCGTTTCCCTGGCCCTCCCACGGCGGTGCCCGCGCACCGGGATGCGTACTGCTCGGAGAAGGGGCCCGCCAGAGCTCGGCTGGGGTCCGCGCCGCCCGGGCCGCAGGCTCGTGGCCGAGAAAGCGCGGGGTCGCGGAGCCCGGCGGGCCGCGCTCGTGGCCGGGTCCCGCTCCTCGGGCTGCGTGCGCCACGCTCACCCGGGCAGGGCTTGCGCAGATGTTTCTCCAACAGCGACTCCTCCAGCAGGAACTCGAACCAGCAGGTCTGCGGCGGGGTGCAGGGCCGGCTGGAGGTGGCCGCCTCCCGGTCCGCCGCCTCCGCGCTCATCCTGCCCCCGCCGCCGCTCCCTGCAGGGACGCTTCCCGGCTCCAACCTGACGCTCTGTCGAGGGCCCAAGCCTGGTATCTGCAGAACCGCCCGGAGCTCGACCACGCCAACGTCCCGGAAACCCACACAATCCAAAATGGCGGCGCGCCCGGGATCGAGCTGGGGTTCCTGGATCCGCCTCTCTGCGCCCCCTGCCGCGCCCCCGTACCAATCGTTGTTAGAGTTGAAGGAAAGGGGCGGGGAAAAAAGACCACGCCTCCTCCCGGTTGCCTTGGTAGAAGGTACTACTACCTGAGGCTGGATCGCTGGTGGGCTTTCCCCCTTCCCTGGGAGATTCTCAGCAATTAAATGAAATAGCCTCATTTGGGGTTACAAAGTCATCAGTGTCTTCGTAAAAGGCAGTGAACACTACATGTTCAAACTGCGATCAAGGCAGTTTGTCTTTGGTATTTTCAATTTCCCCATTCCCATTTTTTGAGATTTCCTATCACCTCGTTCCTCACAGCAGGTGCGCCCTGCAGTCCTGGGCAGAGCGTCCCTGAACCCCTTCTTGGGCGGATGACCGACGCTGTGAGATTCAGCTTTTCTGTTACTTCTCAGGACTAGCTCTCAATATTTAGCACCGAATTAATCCTCTTGGTACCCCCGCTAGTGGTATTGTTAACTCCATTTTACATTTACCTCCACTCTGTAATGTTCTTGTTTTTATTAACAATTAAAATTGAAAAAGGTGTATTCATAGATCGTGAAACTCTCGGTTAAGCTATTTAACTTCTCTAAATTTGGGTTTCTGTGTTCGTAAATCTGGGACTATAGTAGTGCCTAATCTTTGGGTTGATGAGAGAATTAAAGGCAAAGCTTGAGATAATACAGGTAAATGAGGTAACACGGGTGAGCTATTTTAAACAAGCCTGACATCTCGAAACATCGATAAATGTTAGCTAATACCATACAGTGCCTTTTTTGCAAATTATTGTCAGATACATGGTTCTAATTTTCCTCTACAAACAACTCTGTTATACCCCTTTTAACTAATGAAGAAACAAAGGTTCCAGAGTTATCATTTGTGGAAGGTTTCCCAACAAATAATGGGCTAAGCCAGGGCTTTGGTGATCTTTCCACTGTACCCAGACTGCTTCCAACATTGAACAGAGACGGTAAGATCAATGATTTATGGTCTTTTCCAGAATGAAGGGGGAAGGCTTTGGAAAGTTTAAAATAAATGGAATTAGCTTCTCCATAAGTGAAAGTAAATCGAATGCTTCAGTGGCGACCATTATCTCCTTCTCTTCCTGCACAGTCCTCCTTATGGTCTCTGCACTGTATCTCCCCAAAGCTTTCATTTTGGTGTTGTCTGCAATCCTGTTGTTCTCTTCTTACTGTAAAAACCATCCCTGGGTCATTCCTCCCACTCCTGCAATTCTATCCCACTATCTAAAGAACACAATTTGGAAATCATGTATCGGACTAATAAAATCATGAGCACCTAAATTAATTAAATACCGACGGGGAGTAAATAGTTATTTTCATGGAAGATTTGACATGTTTTATTCACCAGTTAGGCAAAAATGCTAGGGGAGAAAGAATAGGTGTCATATTCCTGACTAGGAACCTGACTCCAGGGTAGATGAGCACATGTCTCCATCCTCTATCAGTATAGGAAATAGCTAAGGAACAGGTTTGAAATTCATGTTGGAAATGTTGAGCTACCATCTGTGAGGTGTTGAAATGGAAATGTCCAATGGTCACTGAGTGTCATAACAACAGTCGCTTAGTATACAGAATAATGACAGCTAATAATACTGTACAGAATAATAATAGCTAATAATACTAGCAAACATTCATTTGTGAATTCACTATTTGTGGGCACTGATTTAACACTATATTCATTGTCTTAGTCTGTTCAGTCCGCTAACACAAAGTACCATAGATGGATGACTTATAAATGAAAGAAATTTATTTCTCACAGTTCTGGAGGCCAGAAGTCCAAGATCAGGGTGCCAACGTGGTTATATTCTAGTAAGAACCCTCTCCTGGAGTGCAAATGGTCAGCTTCTCATTGTTTGCTGACTTGGCAGAGAGTAGAAAAGGAACAAGTTCTCTAGTAGGGCACTAATCTCATTCAAGAGGCCTTCACTCTTAAGACCTCATCTAACCCTAATTACTTCCCAAAGGCACCATCTCCTAACACCACCTCGTGGGTGGAAGTTTCAACATATGAACTTCTGATGGGAAGGCGAGAACTCAAACGTTCAGTCCATAAATGCATATTATCTCATTCAAGCCCTGTGAGGTGGGTTTCATTATTCTCTTCATTTACAGGTGATAAAACAGGCACAGAGAGATATTTCAAAACTTTCCCAAAGTCACACATTTTGTGTGAAATAACTATTAAGAAAATACCTATTAAGTGTCAGGTGCTCAATAAGAACTTAAGCAGCATGACTTCAGAGCCTGAAATCTTATCCCCTATGCCTCCCTAATAAGAAAACACATACACACACACACACACACACACTCCAATAGAAAACTGGGCTGAGATCAGAAAACTGCAATCTACAACAGAGAATATCTAAATCCCAAACATTGAAAAAAATATTCAAACTCACTGATGATCAATAAAACACAAAACAACAGTAGAATAGCATATGTCACCTGTTAGTTTTCCTGAAATATCAAGTGTTTCCAAGAATACAAGGAAATGGTAACCTTCATACAAATTGGTGGGAGTATAAACTGGAACAGCTGCTTTAGAAAAGAACAATGTGGCAGGATCTGGATAACACTAAAAAACAAACATACTCCCAAAAGCAGCAATCCCACTTGTAGGTTTATACCTAGAGAAATTCTTGCACATACATATGAGATTTTACCCAGGGATGAGGGGGTGGGGCAGGTGGCAACAGCTTAAAGCATTGTTTACAATAGCTGAAAATTGGAATCCACAATTATTCAGCAATAAAGGGGTAAATAACTAAATTGTGTAATATTCAAACACCTCAAAAGGAATAAAGCAGATTTACATATAGGCAAATAGATAAGGCTCATTTTTAATAAAGTCCCATTCATTGATCTTTTTCTTTAAGGAAATCTTTGCCTACACAAAGTCATAAAAATAAATTTTCCTATGCTTTCTTCTAGAAGCTTTATGTTCTTACCTTTCAGATTTAGAACTATGATCCATTTCCATTGTTTTTTGTGTATGAGTCAAAATTCATTTTGTTTCCATATCATCATTTATTGGAAATACTATCTTTTTCCCATTGAATTTCACTGATGACTTTGTCAGAAATCAGATAATTGTTCAAATATGGATCTGTTTCTAGACTTTGTATTCTTTCCCATTGGTCTATTTGTCAGTCCTTAGACCAATACTATACTGCCTTTTAATGTCATTTTATAGTGAGTCTTGATATCTTGGAGTGTAAGTCTTCCAATTTTGTTCATCTTCTTTAAGGTTGTCTTGGCTGTTCTAAGTTCTTTACACTTCCATACACATTTTAGATAAGCTTGATAAAATAATCCTTCTGAGATTTTTATTAAAAATGCATAGAAGGGGATGAGGATTTAATAATATGGGTAACTGCTGAGCCACTATGTTGTATATTTGAAACCAACGTTACACTGTATGTCAATGATACTTTAATTTTAAAAAAAAGATAGGATAATTAAAGATAGTTTAATTTAAAAAATGCATAGAAAAATATGGGAAGAAGTGACATCTTAATATTGAGTATTCCAATTCATAACATGTCATATCATCCCATTTATTTAAATCTTTTTAAATATCTCTCAACAATGACTTACAGTTTTCAATATAGAGATCATTCACATCTTCCTTTAGGTTTAATTTCCTTTATTTAAAATACAGATGATCTTAATATGGGTGAATGTAGTAACCACAATGTTGCTCATGTGAAACCTTCATAAGCATGTATATCAGTGATACCTTAATAAAAAATATATAGATCATCTTTAAATTTCAAATTCTAATTGCTGCTACTATATAAAATATGGATAGATCTCAAAAACACACTGCTGAGTGAAAAGAAGCAAGTTTGCAAAAATAAGTACAATATGATATGTGTAAATTATAAACCCCCCAGAAATATATACATACATACATACACACATATATATATATAGCCTGAAGTGACATTTTCAAAGTAGTCTGCAGTCCCCAGAGGGCCTCCCAGATCCTTTCAGGGAGTCTTTGAGGTTGAATCTATTTTCATAATACTAAGATGTTTTTTCATTTCTTGCTCAGTTGACATGTGAAGTGATGATGCAAAGGCGATGGTGGGGAACTCGTGACACCTCAGCATAAATCAAAGCCATGACATGGATTTCTCCACCACCATTCAATTCGCTGACAATTTTTTAAAAGTGGCAATTTCACTTCTGAATGTCCCTTGTGACACAGTAAAAAGTATTAATTTTATTCCTGAACCTTGAGTACATGTCATGTCTCTTTTGCAAATCAATATTTTAAATTGAGGCATATACAAAAAATGCACACATCTTAGTGTATGGCTCCATGCGTTTTGACGTGTGTATGCACTCATGGAACTGTCACCCAGATCAAGGGATCAAACATTCTCACTTACATGAGAGTATGTATCATGTCTTTTAAACATTCTCTGTGATGAGACGAGAAGCACACATGACACGCCTTTCCTGAGTACTGAAGTATGACGGTTGTCTCATCTTGAGCGATTTGAGCTGTGAGCCAAATAAGCAGCTTTTACATGAAACACCATTTTTACTTGAAAGAACGAGGACAGACTAATTATGGTCATTGAGACTTGGGTATTTGGCAGACATTTTCTCAAAAATGAACAAAGTGGACCTGTCGCTTCATGGTAAACAATGGACAGTATTTGTAGCCAATAATAAAATTTGAGCTTTTGAGTAAAAATTAGGATTTTGGGAAACTCTGAACTTGACAGCTTCCTAATGCCTGAAGATGCTTCTGATGAGATAAGTGGGGGTATTGTTAAAAATATATATTTTTATTATTGTATAATAAAATGTCTCAACTTTTGGATGATCATCATAACTCAACAGACCAATCAATATTTTTGTGATGTATGGGTACAAGATCCATTCACACTGCAAGACAGACCAATAGATTTCAACAGAATAAACTG